CTGGCTTCATTTGGGAACAGTATAATGATAGGAATGGAAAGGGCGAAGTGAGACAATTATCACCATTAATTAATTAATTAATTGATTGATTACAGGGTACACACCCATTCACTGGCTGGTCTTCACTGGTTGTGTTAATAATGTCAGAAAAATACTAATAAAAGAATGGACAATTAAGAATTAGTAATAATAAATTATAATACATTAATAAATATTAGTATAATGTTGTTATTTTGATGTCGTCATCATCTTTTTCTTCTATTTTTTTCATGTCAATATCAAGTCTGTTACTAAATATAGAACAATGCCTTTAATTCTAAAAATAGAATCCATCTATTACCTTTTATGGGGTAATAACCTTTTCTTCTTATAGAAGCAGTATCCACTGATAATGAACACAATAATTAATATAATAATAATCAATATTGTTCCACCTGCTCCTGAACTAATGGTAATTATTAGGTTATTATTATCATCATTATTGATTATACAGAATTGTCCATTGAATCCAAACTGCCTCTCATCGTTGCATGTTGTGTCCATTTTAAATATTTGCCCGTTCACATTCAAAGTTGCATTACCAGCTGACAACCATTCCTCCATTAGCTGTAGGTATGTACTGATACTGGTGGAGTATAGGTTAGCGGAGAATAGGACCACACCCTCTTCCCTGGTACATGCAAACCTTCCGTTGTTAATGTATTCTGATGAAAACTGGTAGTCATGGCAACGCTCCTGTATTGCCATGGTGACAGCGTTAATGATATCTTGTATTTTAATGAATTTGTTACTTTCCTGTTATTAATAATTATTCTTAATAATTAATTAACATTAACTTACACTCCAACTGTCACATGTATCTGTGTTTAATAAATTAATTATTAACTGTATCCTTTCGAAACTTGTAACTACATAAAGAAATAACTATCAATAACTATTAATAACTACTATGTATATTAATGAATGGTATTGCTAGTACCATTAATGATGACAGGGCTACTATTGGGTCCAGTTCCAATGGAGTTGTTAGCAGTTATTGTCAGACAGTACATCAGTGAAGGAACCATCACACCACCTCTTGTTGCTATGGTATGATTAATATTACTGTTAGCATCATTATTATTAGCTGGTGCTGAGCTTGTTGCTACTGGTTCAATCCCACAGGTACCATTAACATATGATAATATATTTATATTATAATTGTTAATGATACCACGAGCCTCAGTCAATGCTAATGGACTCCACACCAGCTGGACAGTGTAATCATTGACCCGCTCAACACTCTGTATGGTAACAGCACCAACTGGAGCTACAAGTGAAAAGAAAGTTAATGTTTTAAAAGCTCCTTCCATTACAAATTAGGTTTACCTAGTTCAGCAGTGAAGAAATGATTGGAAGTCTGTGGCAGTCCTGGACCAAAAATATTACTAACAACAATCTGATATGAGTACAGTATACCAGGACCTTATGAATAAGGATAATTAATAATAATAATAATAATAATAATAATAATAATAATAATAATCAATAATAATAATCAATAATATCTTACTTAGATTGCTAATGATAGCATTGTATTCACTTCCAATGACACTGACTGTCCTACTCCCTATTGTAATGTTATACTGAACTGGTACACTCTGCCCATTGTGTGGTTTGGTCCAGTGTATCTCAACTGCAGTGTTGTTCAATACACTAATACTTGAATTAGTAATATATCCTAATATAAATATAATAA